GCCGGTGACTCACACGGCAGCCCAGCTCCAGGTTGAGCTGTTGTTCAGCATCTTAGCTGTGGAGGGCAGTGTCACTGGCTCTCATATGTGGGATCAGAACCGGGGCCCTCTTGCGTCCCAAGCCAGTTCTTAACCATCGTGCCACTCGGCCGGCCCCCTCTATATTTTTTAAAAAATATTTTCCTTCTTTTTAAAAATCTTTCATTATTTATTTCAAAAAACCTAACATCAGGGCCAGAAAGTAGATTTAGTCAGCAGCTCCCTAGAGCCTAAAACTGAAGGAAAACCACTTTACTCCTGAGGACGTTTTAATTATAACTGCCTCTAGATTTAACTCAGTGGATAAAATAATGCACTGAGCTTCCTCATAAAGTTCACTCATTCCCATATGTCAAGTCAACATTGGCAGTGACCCACAGTGAAAATGTGGTCTTACAGAACTAAGAGTTTCGAAACTAGTCAGGGGATGATATGATAATGAATGAGTACCTAAAACAAAGGAAGTTTGAGATGAGTTTTAATTACAGAAGGCACAGCTGATGCACATTTCTGGGAAATGGTAAACTACAAAATATGATTAAAACGGCGGCTTAACCCGGTGTATTAGGTTAAGCAATCTGTAACTTAGTTTGAAAAGGTGTCTTTGACTCCTGGGGGTGGAGGTGACTCCGTTCCTCCCCAGCTTAATAGGTTAATTAGAGTCTCTATAGGCATTTTGAGTGGCGAGTACACTTAAAAAAATTAGTTTGCCAGTGCTATTGAATTTGCAATAAGTGGAGTCAGCATCTGAAATAGTTCAGTATTTCACATAATGGCATTTTATTTAGTACTCTAGAGTGTGTTAAATGGCTCCCTCGAGCATTAAAGACATCACTCCATTTTCCAGGACCTGCGCGAAGTCTGGCTCAATTATCCTCTCCACCCACTCCAGGTAAGCGTGGCCGGTGGTCTGCGGTGAGCTTTATAACTGGGTATTTGTATTACTTTAGTTTGCCTTATTTTCCCTCCTGCTTTTGTCCTTAGATTCCCTTCAGTGGCATTATGACTTTAAGCTGGGGTGTCAGAACTGGAAAACTTGGGAACAAATAGTAAAATGATGCCATACGTTGCATTTGTGTGGTCTGGGGTCGGGCACCGCTGGGATGCATCTTGCCTTACGAGGCAGGATGGCCTACTGTGTGATTGTGGTTTGGTCCCCCAATCCCCCTAAAAAGTGATATTCAAAGCCTATGTCGACTCCAGTATATCTACATGCCTACTGTTATAGCGAAAAACACATGGAAGCAAACCTGGGCTTATTCCAAAGTAGAACAAATACTAAATTAACATTGCTAAATTACAACCTAATTTGGATCTTAGTAATTGAAGGCTTTGGCTCAGATTGCGTGAAATATATTCTAAATTAAAGTTTTAGTTTAGTGTGATAACTTTTTATTCAAGATTTTGGAATTTTAAAGATCTACATGTGGTGACATCTTTTTCCTCAGTTGGTTTAAAGATTCTTACTATTGTTTGCTTTTATTTCTATTTTACTTTGGAGATTATATATATATATATATATATATATATATATATATATGTATGTATATATATATGTATATGTATATATACATATATATGAGTATACATATATACTCACATATGTACTCATGTATACTCATACATATATATATTGGTATATATGCATGTATGTATATTATATATATAATAATAATCACTAGTGACTGAACTCTCATGAGAGGCTTTATAGTAAGTAATAAATGGAATTGATTTAAAGTACTTTATAAATATTTTATTAATATGAAATTGCCCAAAGTTGTGGAAAATGTTCATTTTAATTACCCTTTACATATTTGTTCTCTGCCAGTTGTTAAAGGCTCACTGTTACGTGAGCACCTGCCTGGTTGTATAATCATTTCCATTGTAAGCCGAATCCAGTTTTAATGATGCTCATTTGCCAAAATAGTTTGGTCCCTAGAAGACACACAATGGTCAAGTTACTCTAATGCAGTGGTTCTCAAATGGCAGTGTCCAGACCAGTAGCATCTGTGTCACCTGGTAACTTACCAGCAAGGCCAGTTCTCGGTCCTTACTTCAGACATACTGAATGACAGACTGTGGGGTAGGGCCTGGCCATGTGCATTTAACAGGCCCTGCAAGGGTCCTGGTGAACACTGAATTTTGAAAACCACTGCGTTGCTATATATGTATTCTCTACCAGCAGTTCTTCAACTTACCTCTTCCTTGGAGAGTTAGTATAATACTTGGGATTTTGAACTATCTGTGTACAGTACTTGGAGTTGAAATTTGATAGAAGATTGGAAAATATTATTTGAACCTTCTTTAAATATTAGGTTTGTTTGCCATTTAAAGGGATGAGAAGAAGCTTCCATGTTTTATTGGCATTTCAGAAACTTCCGCTCATGGGAGAAGGAATTTACAAAACACTATTTTAGAATTGATAATTACTCTTGCAACCAAAAACTGCACATGATTTTTATTTATTTCTCTTTTCCTGTAGTTACAAGAGCCAAATACGGATCGACAACTTATTGAGACTTCTCCAGTTCTACAGAAACTTACTGAGTTTGAAGAAGCAATTGGAGTAATTTTTACTCATGTTCGACTTCTGGCGAGAGCATTCACACTGAGAACTGTGGGATTTAACCACCTGACCCTGTGAGTGACAAGCGCTCCTGTAGTCCCATTGTGACCATGTAGATAGGCAGTCCCAAACCTTTGCTATGTATCCTGCAAAGGAACTGGGATTTCAAACATATTCTAGGAAATCATGAGATGGGTGAGTAGCCAGACACTGGTGTGGACCAGGGGGTGTGCTCCAATCCAGTATTTTTGGTCTCATTGTCATGCATCTACTTTCTTTGTAAAGCATAATAGAAGTGTGAAGGAAGTAAGAACTTAAGGGACAGATATTAAATGTTTTAGGCTTTATAGGCCATGTGGTCTCTGTCACATGGTTGATTCTGCCTTAGTAGCAAGCATAAAGCAGCCAAAGAAAAAATATAAATGAATGAATGTGGCTAGGTCCTAATTAAACGTATTTACAAAAACAGGCCATGGGCTAAACTTGGCCCTCCAACCCCTGCTCTGCATGAGTGATTTGAAGATGAACTAGTATAATAATTAATAACCAAAATGATATTTTTTTGCATGTTTTTTATTCAGTTTTTGGCTCCTTTCCCCCAAATCAAATATGTATGTCTCTTTAAAGAACCTTGTCATAGATTTTTTTTTAGTTTCCTTAAACTGGATTTCCAGATTGAATACTAGAGTGTATAGTTCAATAAAGAGGTAAAGATTTAACAAAGAAAATTCTTGGGCCTTTTTGTTTTGTTTTGCTTGTAATGAGATTGTGTGTGCAAGATTGTTGTCTGTACTATACTTTAGCTTTCAGTTGATAACTCCTCAGCTTCTGACCAGGAACTGTTTACCAGTCTTTATTTTAGCAATTGTTTAATCCTTACATATGATAGTACTCACTTTACTCTTCCTTGAAACTCAACCTATATTGATTCAGATCTCTTCTCAATTGAAGGGTCTTAGGGAATTGTATTTAGTTTCGTGCTTTAAAGCAAGATGAACACATTGCCTTTTAAAATCATGCCTTTTTAAAAACTCCGTTTTTTTGTTTTGAAATCTGTAAATGCTTACTGATCCCTTTACATTGATGTTTCTTTTTCAGAGGCCACAACCAGAGGATGGAATTCCTAGGTGACTCCATAATGCAACTGGTAGCCACAGAGTACTTATTCATTCATTTCCCAGATCATCATGAAGGACACTTAACTGTAAGTTTGTGTTAAATCATTCCCTCCAATAAGATTACTATGTAATATGAGAGGGAGGATTAGAAGAGCCAAATATCTACTTGTGTAATTGGTGACTTAGTTCTTAGTGACGTTAGCCTGTACACCATATGGTTTTATTCATTTCATTATGCAGATTTTATACAAAGCAGTATATGATAAGAACTCATTTTATACTTTTTCATTTAATGATTACCTACTCTGTGCAAGACATTGAGTTAGGCTTTGTGGGGAGAGCAAATATTAGTTGATACTTAAAGAGTTTGTTATCTATATCTATCTATCTGTGTGTGTGTGTATGTGTGTGTACACATACATGTATCCTATAAAAAGTATAAGTAAGTAATATAACTAAGTACAAGTGAGAACCATGTTACATATTATAAAGAGGCATAGGTAAACTGCTCACTTGTGCTGTTTAGGAAAAGATAAGATTCCTTTTAGGTGTGGAGTTCTCAGAAAGCTTCATGGATATGATGACGTTTGAGCCTTTAAAAATGGGTAGGATTTGGCCACTGGGAGACGGCTGGAAGAACTTTCTGTGCAAAGACATTCCACACATTGGGACTGTCGAAACAAGGACAAAGCATGAAAAATCAGAAGATAGAGGCAACAGGGACTCAGTAGTTTGGCTAGAGTTGAAAGGGACTTACAGAGACAAGGTTTGATTGATGGACAAAGTGAAAGAGTCCCCATTCCTCCACTTTTTTCTCATTTTATAAAACTATTGAGCTTTTTTATTTGCTGTATACTGTTTTTCCTCTGTGAAACTGATCAGTAATATAATTGGAAAGTGAATAAAACATACCTGAAAGCCAGTCACGATGATCTCTCAAAGCAGAGGGAATAACCTTTGAGAAATCCCTCTAGAATTGGCACTGAGAAAGCAAATGAAATTTGGGCAAAGAAAATTACCGTAGTCCACCTTATCTGGTTTTGTTTTCTGTTACCTGAGGTCAACCATGGTCCGAAAATATTAAATGGAAAATTCCAGGAATAACCAATTCATAAGTTTTAAATTGCACACAGTTCTGAGTAGTGTGATGAAATCTTGTGCTGTTTCAGCCCGTCCCACCCATTCACAAACCCTGACAATATCACTCCTTGAGTAACCACCTCGTCTGGATCACCCAAGTCCTCTCTACCGACTTCTGTCACCTGGACCGCTGAGCAGTAGTTTCTGCATAGCTGTCAGAATATTACCGGCATGTGACTGACAAAGAGACCCAGTTAGGAAGGGTGGCCTTTAGGAAATTGTAGGGCTCTCAAGGTTGTGTTTATGCGGAGCCCTAGGTGTGCAGCATACTCAGGTGTTCCCTGAGAAGTAGGGTGCTGTTTGAGAAGCTGGCTTTCCATTCTTGTGGGCGTTTTGTGATTTGTACTCTCCCATGATGGACATTGGCTCAGGCAGAAATCCTTCAGGAGGCCCATTCGACTTGGTTGCAGCTTCGTACCCTGGTCTTTCGTAGTAACTCCTGCTCCCATCCACCTCACCTGTGTTACGTGCTACCGTCAGTGGAGTCGTCTCACAACAGACCTCCTGTGGCCACACTAGCCGTTCATCTTCGGTCCACTTTCGTGGTTCTTCATCTCCCCAACCCCTTGACATTGGAGTGTCCCATTTCTCAGACCTCTCCTCTTTTCTGCCGACTTCCTCTCCATGAGTGGTCTCAGGGCTTTGACTACGTCTAGACACTACTTCCTAATTTATGTCTTCAGCCTTTACTTCTCCCCGCACCTCCACACTCATATAGCTATGTATACTCTAGAGATACACTCAAATATCGAGATGTACAGAAATACTGGAATCTCTAGTTGGATTTTTATTAGGCATCTCAAACTTAACATGTCCAAAACAAAACTTGTTTTCACCCCAAAACCTGCTTTTCTCTAGGTGCTCTCCCTATCAGTAAGGATCATTACTTTCTTCTAGTTGCTCAGGCTAACCACCTTGGAGTCACCCTTAACCCTTCTTTTTCTTATATCCAGCCATTAGCATATCCTGTTGATTTTACCTTAAAAGTTTGCCTGAAATGTGACTACTTTTCACCAGCTCCACTGTTACCACCCAGTTTTGGGCCACTGTTCTCTGGCCCGGTATCTGTTAAATTACAGCCATAGCCTCCCATGGGTTCATCACCCCCACGCCTCAGCCTGTGTTCAGCACATCATCTAGCGGAATCGTTTTGAAAGGGAAGTCAGATTACACACCTTCTCTGTGTAAAGCCTCCCAAAGATTTCCCAGCGCGAGGGTCAAAGACAAACGTTCTTCCCTACGAGACCCTGGGTGACCTGCCTTCCTGCATCTGTCTCTGACTTGTGTTTCTTAGACCTCCACAGTGGCCTCTGTGTGCTTCCTTGGGGTGCTGAGCTACCCTTTGCCTCGACGCCTTTGCACAGGCTGTGGCCAATCCCTCATCTCCTCAGGCTCTCTTCAAGTGTCTGCCCTACTTAACCAGTGACCTCTCGCGCTGCTCCGTGCCTCATCTCCGGTTCCCCTTTCTGTTTCTCCTTGGCGCAGGCTGTATGTTTTACTTGTTTACCGTCCGTCTTTTCTCATCCGAGTGTAGAAGCAGCTTCCTGAAGGCAAGGGCTTTGGTCTGAGCTCCTCGTTCCCGACTCCCTGGCCCTCGGAGCGTTCCCGGCATATCGGTGCTCAGCACGTATGCTCTGAAGGCGTGAGCGGCTGTTCCATTTCAGGCTGACGCTCTCCGGGTGCTCTTTGTGACTAAAGAACAAGCAAGGCCCTGGGTGGCCTGGCCGGCTCTCCTGCCTGGCCTCAGGTCGCACGCTCTTTTCACGCTGCACCTCCACACTGGCCTGCCTTGTGTTCCTCCAGTGCCCTGCTGTCGTCGGGCTTTGTACAGGCTGTTTTTCTACCTGGGGTCCGTTCTGCATCCAGCCGTTGCTTTCATTTGCCCCGTATCTCCTACCTACCCTTCTGCTCGATATCAGTTCTGACGTGACTCCTGGACGCAGGGAAACTCCCTGACGGCCTCCCAGCCAAAATGCCATGTTCTTTTCCTTCCTGACACTTGCGTCAATTTGACTGTCCCACTATCCTGGAAGTTCTGTGACAGCATGTTTTTATTTATCACCGTATGCCCAGCAGTGCCTGCCGTGTGTTAGGCTCTCAGTACATATTTGAAAATAACTAAAAGAAGGAGAGTTTCGTAGGCAGCTAAGTCACACAGAGAGGGACGTGTAAGTGGCAGTGGAGGGAGGTGGCACTTTGTTTTAATGTATAAGGGAGGTAGCTGAAAAGTGACTTATGAATGTCTAAAGATTAAAATTAAAATTTGTGGAGGATTACTCATTACAGTTGCATTTATTGGAGGGTGGGGGCAAATTATTCATCACTGTAATTAAAGCACACACAACTACAGCAACTGTACATTGAGAGGCATCTTGCTTGCTTGGTTAGCAAGCAAGCTAGAGGCAGCTAGCTTGGCGCCACTCCCTTGCGTATGGTTTTACGGACAATAAGGACAGCTGAGCAAATGAAACTGTGGTTTTGAATGCTGATGGGGAAACACATAGTGTTCTATAAGTTGGGTGTTCAAAAAGGCCTACCTGAGAGGGAATGTCAGGCATCTATAGCTCTTGCAGGAAGACAGTTGGAATTGGAATATACAAGGAAGAGGTTCTATTTCATAGCCTGAAGTTTTGGTTTTGTTAGGTTAGAACCTACCCAGTAGAGTAAATAGTGAGAGGGTCTCAAAGAGAATTTACTCAGACCAGTACGCCTGTCTGCCACACTTTGCAGTTGTGACACTCACATCTGAGTTTTCTTCCCTATTTCGTTCTTCTCTCTTAGCCTCTACTCCAAGCTACCAAACCCAAAACAGTTGTTAATCCCTTGCCTACTATGTGCAAGGTGCTGTGTCCAATGGTGGCATGCACCAGCGAAATGAACTTACAGGAATTTTTGTTTTTAGAGGAATGATTTGGGATAATGAGAAAGCAAGGATAACAAATTAAAAGTTTGAGATCCAGTGATCTAATCCCTTCCTGCCACCTCCAGGCAGCACTGAGCATAAATCATGCTGATAAAAGGTATCTATCTGCAAGGCCTCCTCGAGAGGATAGATCCCCAGCCTCCTGGTTGAGAGTTTCTCCATCACTGACATAATCTGGCTCTTTGTATCTGACTTGCTTTCTGACTGCTAGCATCTGTGTACCTTTTCTTTAGTTACCATGGGAAATGGAGACCATCTGGCTACCACTCTTGGTGTAATAGACCTGTGTGGCACATCTCTGTCACTTGTAATCATATATTTTGCCTTCACCCCATGCTCATGTATTAAAGTTGCTCAAATAGTATTCACAGTCTACTTACTTCACACTAGGTGGCCCTCATGTCCTACAGCTATGGTTTCCTCTTTAGAATCAAGAGTGAAGGGAATAGTTGAAGGAAGGATGCCAATATGTTTCTTTGTTTTAAACCAATAAACCTTTTTCTTATTAAAAATTAAGTTTATACTAATTATGCAAGACTGCTGTGCAGCGATAATAGAAAACATCCTGGATTCTCAAACTCAGAACCTGAGATTTGTGATGTTTATTTGGGTCCCTGCCGCTGCATCAGGACCTCACCAGTCCTTTTCTCAGCTTTACAGAGAGCCCTCACTACAGCTGTCTTCACTTTCTGGTGATTTCAAATGACAATTTTGGAGGGAGGGGCGGGGGGAGTATTAAGAAGAAGGTTAAGGACCACCTAGCACTTGGTAGAAAATGGAAAAGACAGTGAGTGGACATGTATACAGAACATCCTGCATTGAAGACAAATCCAGAGGGATTTCTAGAACTGTCTGTAACTCTTTCCCTATAAGCGAAGAGCAAGAGCGTATCTTGCCTAGTGATGGCGTCTTAGTAGCTAACAATGGCAGTACACGTGTCTCACGTCTTTATTATGTGCCGGTTATTGTGTATTCATCCACACTGATTCTCATTACCACCCTGTGAGCTAGCTACTACTTTCTCCATTTTATAGATGAGGAAACTGAGCCTTTGATTCAGTAACTTTAGTAACTTGGGGTCACTTAGCCAGGAAGTGCTGAGGCCGCAGTTTGAACCCAGGCAGCATGACGCAAAATCTTTTGCCTTTTACTACATATGTAATACCAGGCAGGTCCGCAAAACAGTCTGATAACTATCTCATGCCCATTGGGTGCTTAATGTTTGTTTTCTAGACCGCTAAAGAGAAAAAAAAAAGTAGATATTTCCACTTTGTAAAACAGTAATTTATACCATCAACATCTACAAGCTTTCCAACCTCATGTCTTGCTCCATTGAAATTCATCCACCAAAATGATCTTTCTAAAATAAAAAAATTTGCCGCTCTGCCCACCTGACACCTTTTGGGACTCTTTCCCCCTACAGGAAAGTACAGACTTATTTACCTCGCCTGCAGGACTCTGCCCAGAGGCCAGGCAGCCCCCTCAGATCAGCTGTCCCCACTGAGCTCTGATTTCTCGTCCAGTCCCACACCCAGCAGCCACCTTGTGTCGTGGTCCCTAGCTTTTGCCAGAGCTCTTCTGTCTTCTTGGAAAACCCTTCCCCACTGTCTTAGTCTATTCAGGCTGCTGTAACAAAACACCGCAGACTGGGGGCTTATGAACAGCAGAAGTTGATTGCTCACAGTTCTGGAGGCTGGAAGTCCAAGATCAGGGTGGCCAGCACAGTCAGGTTTGGCCTGTTGCGAGTGCAGAGTTGTTGTTGTCCCCACACATGGTGGCAGGGGCTGGAGATCTCTTCGGCCTCTTTCATACGGGCACTAGTCCCATTCGTGAGGCCTCCACCCTCATGACCGAACCACCTCCCGAAGGCCCGCCTCCCAATGCCATCATCATTAGGGGTTAGGCTTTCACCCTGTGAATTTTGGGAAGATGCAAACATTCAGACCATAGCACCCACCCTTTCCCCACTAGCAAGCAGACTCATTCTTTTTCAGTTCTGACTCTGTCTTTATCAGAGCCCACTTGCATGATTTTCAAAGAAATACACGTGTCTAGGTTACATCCCCCAAATTCTAATTCCTTGGTTCTTGGAAGAGGCCTGAACACCGTACCTCAAAAGTACCTTACGATTCTGATTATAACAACCAGGTCAGTGAGCCCCTGAAACGTTTGTGGTCCGGGGTTAGACGGCTGCGGGGGAGAGAAGCGCCTGCGGGCACCATGGTCGCTGCTGTCACTGCAGCGAACACAGTGTGTGACAGTGGCCAGTCTGTGCGCTGCTTCCTTCAGAGATTAGCCCCCCCCCCCCAGGCAGCAGTGGGATGTTGATCATTTGGGGATCGTCAGCCATTAGCCAGCAATGGGCCTGGCATAGAACTGGCCTCCCAGGCTGTTAATGGCCGCACTTCAGGTGGTTTTCTGCTCTGTGATCCCCTGTTGATCCCACTTGTTGGCAAACAGCATGATTCATTGTGAAGCTGAGTTCAGCAAAGGCCGAGGAGGGAAGTTCTCATTTAAAGAACTGCCATTCAGACTTTCTCGTAAAGAGCCAAGGTCTTAACTCTTTTCAACTCATCTTTTAAATTTAAACTGACTCTAAAAATATGGGAGATTTGGAGCTTCCTTTACCCTCACTGACTTTTTGCTTCAGGATCTGAGTTTTGGCAAGAACTGAATAATCTCACTTTTAGCTGGCCACCCTGCTTCTTTAAGACCTGTCAGGGCCTATTTTAAATAAACCTGGAAGCATTTCTGTTTGCGTCCTCTGCTGTCTTCCTCCTTCCCCAGCAGGACTGCACAGCAGTGAGCGAGGACCTCTGACACTGGGAGGTGGCAGCTGGGGCGCCCTAACCAGTGCTGTGTTGTGGCCTGTGTGTGCTCAAGTCTACATCGGGCTGTGGACTCTTAAGGCGTGGAATCCCCATATACGCAGCCTCAATTGGTTTTCTCCTCTCCCCGAAAGCAAGCCCAACTTGCTCAGCACAGCCGTATTCGCGAAATAGCCCGCCTGTTCCCCTGCGGCCTCGACTTTGAGAGCCCCTCCCCTCCCATTAGAAATCCAAACCAAAAAAGATACCTCCCTTCCAGCTTAATTATTCTGTAATTGCGAGATATTAGGCTGGGGGGCTCCCTATTGGTTCGTTCCTCTATTAATGTTATATGCTAGGTCTTTTTAATTTTGAGCTGCTCTGTGGTTATTAATTTTAATGAAACACTATATTGAAGAAAAGGTAGAGTTAGGGGGAATCCGGAGGAAGGGAGCAGAGACAAACAGAGAAGAATAGTCTGTAACTCAACAGCAAGCGCAGCTCATGAAGATCAAGCTGTAATTCTCCATGAATCATTGTCAGACAAATTAAGAACATATTGTTTCTTATTTATCTATTGTCAAGGATGCAGTCTCAGGCGTTGAGAATAAATCTTGATTTTCATATGCTCAGTCGACACTGTGGAGCCACAGAGCGTAAAACTTGCATCTAATAAACAAAGTGTGATGAGGAAGCTAAGGGGTGTGAAGCCAGCTCCCAGGCAGCTGCTTCCCGCTCCCTCGCCTGGTGTCAGCGATATTCCTCAGCAGCAAGTAGCTGTTGTCATAGGCCGAGAATTTGTTCTGTCTGTCGTAAGAAAAGCCCTCATTGTTGGTACATTATTCCCCCAAATCTCAGAGGCTGGAGACAGTTATTCTCAGCCTTTGTTTGGTGAGTTCCCATCTTTGTATCGACCTGCTTCTCCGGCCTCCCTCCCTTCCCACCTGCCCCCTGGGAGTGGTTAGCGAGTGAGTGTTACATCCCTAAACCAGGCTTGTTTCATGGGCACCTCCTCCAAGGATTGGGTGCATAATTTTCATGCACTGTTTAGTATTACTACTTGGGTAGTGTTTTGCAGGACTTTTAGCTGACTGAAATTCCTAGTAGAAATTCTTTGTTTTGAATTCCTGAAGTTGAAATATGAAAATTACATTTTCATTTGATCAAAGATAAAGGGTCTCAGTTTGAAACACTGACTCTTTTATAGTAGAAATATTCAAAATAATCAAAGTAGAAGTGTGGTAATAATTTAAGTATTTTAAGTAATATTTACTAAAACATCACTTCCCCAAATCCTGTATTATCAAAATTAGCATCAGTGCCGTGAAACTTGAAGCTTATTTTAGACTTTCTAAAAATGCTCCTTTAAAACTAACATGCAGTGACAGAAAGCAGGCCGAGCGTGCCTGGTGGAAAGCGGGTCCGATTGGTTGATGCAGAGGGGCACAGCGAACTTGTTTGGGGTGATGGGAATGTAGAAGGCTGTCAGAACTCACCTCACGGTACTTAAAATGGGTGCATTTTATTGTATGTAAATTACACTTCATTACGGTTCATTTTTGAAAATTGTGGTGCTCCTTCATTGAATAGCATTAAACTTACTGGAAGCTGTGACCGTTCATCATAGTACAGCACCTCCTGCGACTCAGCTCACTGCTGCTGAAAAACTAAATGAACTATTGAAAGGTCAGTTAGGTAAAATCCAGGGCACAGTAAGTTCTTTAAGGAGAAGCTAGAAGAATATGAAGTTTGTCACTGGTGCCTGGGGACGCCAGCCATGGTTTGCCCTGGTGTCCCTATCGGTGACATGGTCTCAGGCTGGTGGGGCCTCATGCAGAGGCAGGAGAGAGACCGAAGGGAAGTGGCTTCTAAATGTGCCTTGTTTCCTTTCGGCCAGTTGTTGCGCAGCTCTCTGGTGAATAACAGGACGCAAGCCAAGGTGGCGGAGGAGCTGGGCATGCAGGAGTACGCCATCACCAACGACAAGACCAAGCGGCCGGTGGCGCTCAGGACCAAGACCTTGGCCGACCTCTTGGAGTGTGAGTCCTCTCCGCCTGCAGATTCACAGCCTAAATCAGATGCACCAACATTTATCCTTCTCATTATCGTCGTTTTCTGACTTTTACAGAAACCTCTTTTCTATTTTAATTTTTATGTTTTATTTATGCCTTTATCCAAAGCTTGCTTGAAGAAGAATGTGGAGTTAAGCCACGTGAATAATGCATTTTATGTTCAGTCTGTGTTCCGTGGTGCCACCCCCACCCCGCCTCTGCACCCCTCCATCCGAGTGCCCAGCCATCACACCCCTTTGTGTGACACAGTGACAGATTATGAAGATTGAGCTTAGTGAATCCTAGCTTTTTGGCCACCCAGCAGACTTTATGTAGGGGCCTAGGAGACAGAAGAAGAATGTATTCACTGAATGCTATAACTGTTACCCGTTGTTTTGAAAGAGCTCAGAGCTCTATGTACAAATCTCATCTTTCGCACTTTCTGATATGGTCTGGAATCATTATAAATAATCCTGTTATAGCTAACTAAAGGATTATATACATAATTTTATTGTTTCTGGTGCTATTTTAAAATAAGTGGGCCATTAACTGGGGGAACTTTTTAATGTTAGGGTATTTTGACCATTGAAATTATATTAAAGTCTACCATGCAAAACTAGCCTATTTACAAAGAGCAAAAGGCAGTCTGACAAGGAACCTAAGAGAACTTCTTTTTCAATTAACTTCTTTTAAAAACTTGCTGTTTGTTTACTTGGTTAAGGTATCTTTTAATGAAGCTATCTTTGGGGTTCCCATTTATTAATTCACAGTTGGGTGTGTTGTTACATTGTCATGAAGCCCAGTATTACGTTTTTCTCTGGGCCAGTTGACTCTGTGAATCGTCCCATTTCTGTTCATGAAATGTAACACATACCCTTGTAAATGGGGGGTCTCAAGACTGGTGTTGAGAATGGCAGGCCCCAAAGATGCACTCAGTCTGTTGTCATATGCGGTCATCCAGTTTTATTTTGATTTATTGGATGTTAACTTGGTTGTATTCCCAGATAGCATTCTTTTCCTGCTATACAGTAGCATTTTGTGTATCATTTTAATGAGCTAGTCATTTAGCCCTTAGCCAAACATACGTAATTTGGTCTTTGTCCTCTGTGATTTTGCATCTTAGTCACACATCTGTATTGCTGCTGCTTACATTAGTGATAAAGAGTAGCTCTTGTTTAAAGAAGGATGAAATGGTAACGCTAAAAAAATAAGGAGGGCCTGGAAGTTGAACACCTTATTAAGGAGTTTCTTAAAAGTCTGGGTCTCCTTCTGGTAAATGGCAACGCATTGTGGTTTATTTTTAAATGTTCTCTTTTTCAGCATTTATTGCAGCACTGTACATCGATAAGGATTTGGAGTATGTTCATACTTTCATGAATGTTTGTTTCTTCCCACGATTAAAAGTAAGCTTATATAAATTTTAAATTGGTTATATGCTTTAAGATTGGCAGTCCCAGAACCCATTACTAAGTGCTTTTTGGGTACTTGCTCCAGGAGTTCATTTTGAATCAGGATTGGAACGACCCCAAATCCCAGCTCCAGCAGTGTTGCCTGACACTTAGGACAGAAGGAAAAGAGCCAGACATTCCTCTGTACAAGTGAGTACTCACTGCCCATGGGCCGCTGGGTCGGGTGAGCTCAGAGGCGATGCTCTGGGCGCCTGGAGGAGAAACTGACCACTGTGGAGCCATCGTGACTGGGGTCCTGGGTGAAGACTTTGTGACTCTGACTCGGGGCGTTTCTGTCTTTCAGCTGTAAGTAAGTGGGTATCATTTGATTATCTAGGCGTTCTCCCATCTCTCAAATGCTCTGTGAACTACTCCCTGTGAGGAAGACATTCTGAGATTAGGAGACCACGATAAGAGCAATTCAGATGAAGTAGTTTTATATACGTTTTTATATTTGTCTTATTTCTCGTAACCGCTGCTGTGCATCTAGATTAGAAGATTGTGTATGCTTAATTTGTAACAGTAATTGGGGGTCTCCCTGTCCCAGGCCTGTTGGCCTCTGTCTCTGTTGCCTGACAGGTATGCCCTCTGTCTCAGGTGTTCACTGTAAGAAGCACAGCAGTCCTTCACTGCTGCTGTGTTATTCAAATATTTGGCACTTTTCTTCTCAGAATGCGTATCAAAAGCTGTTGAGTAGTTCTGAATATCTTTAGTGATAAATCTTTATTCTTTGAGTGGTAACCAGAAATCGTTCAAAAGGAGTGCAGGTCACTGCACACATACACCGGCTTTCATGAAAACAGGAGGTTTGACTCTGAAGTAGAGTAATTATCTTGAGACATTCACACGTTGATTCAGAAAGTGGTTTCAAAGAGGAATTACAAAAAGGAAGAATTATCAAAATAGGTGGGTTGCCTCCCGTGGTATTGTCTGGATATGTGTTTATGAGGATGTTTAAAAATCTAGTTTCAGTGCTGGTTTGTCCCTTGTCTGTGCACACACGGTTGCAAGCACACTCATTTGTGTGAGTATCCCATAGGGAAGAAAAGCACCCCCCCCCCGCTCCTGTTGATTTTCTCAAATTTCAGAATATTCAAGGAAAACACCAGAGTAGCAACCAAAAATTTTATGTTTTTATTTCCAGTCACAACATGATACAGGCTTTTCACTAAAAGAAAAACTGAGCCCCAGAGAAGGTTGTGCTACCCCACAGCGAGCTACTATGAATGGTCCCAAGAAGCTGTCACTGCTAAATAATGTTTCATTTTTTGGGGGGAAAAACCCCCAAATGTTTAGAAATAGTACTTTAATATGTGGCTAAGAAGCATAATGAATACCCCAACTGTCTTACATGAAAGGCTCAAAGTATTTCCTCATCAAAGTGATAATTAAGGCTCAATAAATAAAATGGAGAAGATAAACCTCTCATAACGCAGGCATGATGACTATAATAAGAGTTACCTGAAAGAAGCCACCCGGGTGCTTTCATCCCCCGGAGAATACAAACACAGAGGAAATGACTGCTCCCTTCTCATAAAGCGCCCAAATGAAAGCACACGATGAGCGTGTTCTTTTTCATCAAGATGAAGGGGTGGTTTTGCATCGTTTTTTCACGATTGCTGTGTTCATTCCATTATCTTTGTTGGCTACTTTTAATTTCCCTTTTGCATGAAGCTATCAGCTTTACCACAGTTGAAATCTGCACCACATCATTAAAATCCAGGGTACCTGGAGTTTTGTTTTTCGGCAGTTGTGTTGTATACTTGGCATTACAGCATACCTTTGAAATGGTCTCAGATGTTCCAGAAATGAAATAAGTTTTGTGATCTTTCCGATAAGATAACAGACATTAGAAAGAATCCATCAAGGATGTAAAACCATTCAGATAGGGCTTGAGATGTATTACCCAAATATTTATTATTTTTCGCTGTGATTAGCACTGAAAAACAATGAACAAATTGAAATAGATAACTTTTCACTGATAAAAGTTTGTATCATACTTCGAATATGCACACTTTGAAACTGTTTAAAAATATTTTACACTTCACGGTTAGACTGCAGATACTATTTATAATGCTTTGGGGAAAATATATATATATATAAATCCAGTGTTAGAATTAAAAAATTTTTCTATTTCAAAAGCTTACTATATTTGTCAGGTTAGCAAATCAAAAACTTACTCCTTTAATTCTCTTGCTATTTTTGCCTTCCTCTGAGCCAGCAGTTCTCAACCTTCCGAATGCCGTGACCCCTTAATATAGTTCCTCATGTTGTGGTGACCCCCAACCATAAACTTATTTTCGTTGCTACTCTATAACTGTAATTTTGCTACTGTTATGAATCGTCATATAAATATCTTTCTGTTTTCCAATGGTCTTAGGCGACCCCTGTGAAAGGGTCATTCGGCCCCCAAAGGGGTCGCGACCCACAGGTTGAGAACTGCTGCTCTGAGCAATAAGTACCTGGTTTTTCTTGGAGTTACATACTAGCAATAACAATTAAATGACACTTTAGCATAATGAATATTCTTTCTTTTCCCTTTCAGGACCCTGCAGACTGTGGGGCCATCCCATGCCAGAACCTACACTGTAGCTGTTTACTTCAAGGGAGAAAGAATAGGCTGTGGGAAAGGACCAAGGTATGAGAAGAAGCTACATTTAATTTCTTCAAATGGACATCCCCTGTGTCCGAGAAACCTCTCCTTGGTATTCCCCAGCTCTGCAGTCTGTCTTTTTAAACTTAGAGTATAGAATGTTCCAGGGCAATAGCAAAGTGATTCCCAAGGATCGGTGTCCCCTCTACACCCAGCCCCAAATGTGAGAATCGGCCTTGAACGGTGAGAATGCCATGTGTCAGGGGCTGTGGCTGCCTTGAGAAAACCACCTTGCCTGGTGCATAGGTGAGGGCTGTCCGGTTTTATCACCCGGCAGTGTACCCAACATTGCTGCAAGCATTTTATGAAACACGGCGTGCGTGACACAGCCGTTAGACATTTGATCTTTTATCGGTACTCACTTTAGCTTTGTGGACGTGATAACATCTTCAGGTAAAAAGAATTATGTATATTGTCACCTTTCTTTGAACCTCTATATCTTAAACTGAGAAATGATTGGAAGCCTGTCTATATATACAGTTTTTTACTCTTTACCTATTTAAAGTTTACACTGACGATACTCAAATTTAAGTATGAAATACTTCAAACGTAATATAAATGGAAGGCATTTTAGTGCAGTATTAAAAGTGTGGAACGATTAACTTAAATAGGCTTTGCAAATAAACGACATTTCTGCATGCCCTTGGGTATATTCCTATCTGTGCAATTCAGTATGTGACCGTAGAAGTAATCAGATAAAATTTTATGTACCAAACATGAAAATCAGTCTGAATAATTTGTAGCCATACCATTTGTTTTTGAAAAAAATCTTTAAATTAAAGTGTATCTCACCTTTATTTTATTTAATAGTATTCAGCAAGCGGAAATGGGAGCTGCAATGGATGCACTTGAAAAATGTAAGCCTATCTCTTCTTCTGTAATTATATGTTCATAATGTAATGAGTGTTTTCTGGAAAGAAAATGGAAAATAGAAAAATGGTAAGTACTGATAAAATGTGATATTCTTTTCTTCATAATTATTCTTCACACAGAGTTTAGTAGAATGTGAGACATGTATAAAATGGGCTTATAATTAAAAAAAAAAAAAAGGTATTCCTGAATGCTTTTTGATGTTCATTTTCTTTTCTTGCGTAGAGTCACTCTCTCAGCCCAAGTAATCCATGCGAACAACTTAGTGTATTCGTTTCCATATACTTGTAAAATATATTTCATCAATTTCTACAATCATATGCATGCGAAGGTTTCTTTCTTTTTAGTTTTTGGCCATTGTTTTATGGAACTGGGATGATATTTACAAACTCCTGTGCATCTTTTCTTGCACATTCTGGGCAGCTTTGCAGGCCATAGTGGCTTCAATTCATTCTTTCTTAATAGCTACGTAAGAGGTCACGCTGTGTGTGAGCTGTATGTTATTCAGCTTTTTACAAATTATTGGTGGATACTTTGATTCTGGTTTTTTATCACTGCCGACAGTAAATGTCTATATATTGGTGCTTTTAGTTCTGTGAGATAGAGTCCCAAGAATGGGATGGCAGGGCTGAAGAAACTCCAGTTACATAATTGACCATATAGGGAACTGCTGAGTCTTTCTTAAATCGAAGGCTTCAGTGCAAGGAATTTTTCTCCTGAGGTATATCGTGCTGCACAGCCCAACCTGTGGGCAAAATGTGAGCAATTTGATTAGGCTTCAAGTACCAGCTACATGTGGGAGAGAGCAAGGTGCCGCAAGGTGAATGAGAAGCGGCCCAGGATCCGCAGCCCTGGGGCAGATTACAGGAAGGGTCAGAGGGCCACGAGCCAGGTGCAGGTCGGCAGACCCCAGCTTCCTGGAGATGGGGCAGGAGCTAGTGTTACCAGCCGCCAGTGATCGTGGGCTCTTCACTGAGATTTCTTAGTTGACTGTTGGGGAACTTTCTCATCTATTACATATAAATGAGCAATCACATGGCGGAAATAAAAGTGAGATTCCATTTTCCACTGTAAGATTGTTAAAGGTTATCTTGATTTAAAATAGGGAAAAAATAAATGTATAAATGAAGCTACATGTTGAATAGTAGGGAAATGTTTAAATAAATTAGGGTATATCCCAGGGGTTGGCACACATTTTCTATAAAGATAGTAAATACTTAGGAGTTGCAGGTAATACAGTTGCTGTCACGGTGTCTCAGCTCTGCCATGGTCGCCCACCGGCGTGGACAGTACGCGGATGAGCGGGTACCTGTGTTGCAACAGTACCTATTCACTGAAGTGCGGGCAGGGCTGTACTTGGCCTACAGGGAGTGGTTTACCAATCCTTGCTTTATCCAAACGTTGTAATATTTTGGAGCCATTAACATTTTTGGAAGGTAATGATATGGGAATATGCTTATACTAGAATAACTGAAACAAAAAGTGTACCCATAAAACACACCTGTACTGTACGCTGGCAGTGTAAGGGAGTGAGGGGGAATGATTTTAAGTGTGTGTCTGTGTAATAGATATACACATTTACATTGTGTATGTATCTGTGGAGTGTAACTGTACTTCACAGGAAAAGGGCCCTATGGATATATTCTAAAGGTTTATCAATGGTTAGATCTGAGTGGTGGGCTTTTTTTCATGCAGATTAAAGTTTACAGTAGAATTTACTGAGGACGGTAGGGCTCATTTGTAGAAACTTGCTTGACAGCTAACTTTTTGGGATTTGTTTGATGTACAGTAAAACCTTGGATTGCGAGTAACATGGTTTGTGAGTGTTCTGCAAGACGAGCAAACATTTTTAATACATTTTAATGTGGTAAACGAGCGACGTCTTGCAATACGAGTAGTTTGTTTCCGGAACGAATTATGCTTGCAAACCAAGGTATTTCTGTATTGTTTTTTTAAGTACTTATAATACTTGAAAGCTGTGATTTATATAATACAAAAGGAATCAGTGTAATATCATTTGGCTGATAGGATTTTATTACTGTTTTATTTCTAAAATACAGGTGCTATTATGTTCCTCTTTTGTTTAAAATCAGTCACTGACTCTCAGACATGCAAGCTCGTCACTGATTTCACCACCTGCTTCTCAGATACTTTCCTACCACCCTATCCCTCTCTCATCTGGGGTGAGGATGGGATGCTGTCTAACGGGGAGACCGGGGCAGGGCGGACTCTAGGAATATGCTAAATATTTATATCCGCATTTATTATGCTTCAACCTTAACAAACAACAAAAGTATTACTTTCCCTCAGGCATGCTATGTTCTCCCCCATCTCCGATTCTTCATATTTTTCACTATGAAGTAGCACCTATTCTATGCAACAGCCCCTTCCCTGGCTTGGCAGCACAGCATCATTTTTTCCTGTGTGACCAGATCACTTGTGTCGCTCTCATTCACGCTTGCATTCTGTCCTGATGTTTGTGGTTGAAGTACCGTATTTACCCATGTATAAGATGCACCCTTTTCTGAAAAATGTGGGGTCTAAAAACTGGGTGCATCTTACGCAGTGGTTGTAGATTTTTTTTACTTGCATTTCCCGCAAGTGATGAGGAGTTGTATGAATTTTACGATGAATAAAACTTGAGTTCAATAACTTTATGTAATAAATTTTTTTCAAATTTCGGGCCTCAAAATTAAGGTGCATCTTATACATGGGAGCGTCTTATACATGGGGAAATACGGTATGTGTTTGTTGACAAAGTGTGGAAAATGACTGTTTTTCCTTCCATACTTGATTGCTGACCCCATTGCTGCACTTGTTACAGACCATAGGTGACTTGTAGAAATTTAAAATCTGAATCAGAATTTCCATTGTGCCAACACGCTTGCACACGGTCAAATGTCCAACTAAATATAGCTTAAACTATGCCATTGAGCGACGTGTTTCCTTTAACCAAATAAAAGTGCTTTACTGGGGTTGCTGTTGCTGATACAGCTATGGGCTTCCTATGGTAAACTTTAAAGCTAGAATGATCATAAATAGTGACTTAGAATGCATCCTCCTTTTGTCTGATCTTTTTCTGCACTTTTCAGAAAGTTTAATTCTTGGTAAATAATTGTGTGATACTATTGTTATTTGTTTGAAGTTTTTGGTTTGAACTCCATTGTACAATACCCTTTGCTCTCTCCCTGAAAATCACTTCTTGTTCGAAGAACTATGTTAAAACGCCTACCTGGAATCATTCTGAGGCCACATGTCTTTCTTTCAAACATTCCTGTATGTCTCGGTGTCTTTTATACTCAAGGTCACATCATACATTGAAATCTAGAATTGGGTGCTGATCTAGCCCTCCAGTGGGTTTCTGCATGATAAAAGAATACGGGAAGAAAACGAACAATTTGTTTTTCTCTTGCCTTACAAAATACAGCTATATATATTTTATATGAATATGTCTTTATATGTGTATATGTTTGGTTTGCATCATTCTTTGCACTAGTGGCTGTCCTTTATTAAGTATAAAATATATCTCCTCGTGTCAGATAACTTTCCTCAGATGGCCCATCAGAAGCGGTTCATTGAACGGAAATACAGACAAGAGTTAAAAGAAATGAGGTGGGAAAGAGAGCACCAAGAGAAAGAGCCAGATGAGACTGAAGACATAAAGAAATAAAGGAGGACACAGAAGTGGTAGCGTATTTACTTGCTTAATAACTGTGACTGTTGCCCGTGGAGACCTAGCCTAGTTTTCCTGCAGACTATGGATGAAGCGTGCCTGTTGAAATAAAACACCAAGTCAAATTGCTATCGTTGTTTCACTGATCTAATACGCTGTTTTTAGCTGGATGGTCTTTATTACCAAGTGTTTGATTTCTCTTCTATTTAATGGAAAACTTCCCTTTAGTGGATGTGCGTATTCCCTTTATTTTTTTTCTTTAAACAATAAAATTTGAAAAATTTATTCTATGTGGACTACATCCTATTTTTCTATCTCTGTCTGAGATTATGACTCTAGACTTTCAGCCGACAAGTGAAAAATTCACTTTACCAGGTATTCGAACTGCTCTTTACTAACAGCTATACTTTTTGAAATCTCGGGATTATTAACTAGGTTTTATAGCTTTCATCTGGATGTTTATCAAGCTCTCAGCTGCAAATGTTGAACATATCCCTCTCTACACAGTGAATCCTTTGTAGATGGAATCTCTTTAACATTTAACTGGCTAATGGGAGGGGGGATGACTGATACTTGAGTCACATACATTCTTTGAATCGTCAGAATAGGGGAGAAATCATGATTCTGTGCCAGATGACACTTGAAATCAGGTTCTCACCCTGGGGTTAGTGGACTCTTTAAGAAGTATATAGACAGATTTCAGGGGAATCTCAGAACCTCTTGAAATTGTACTCAATTTTATGTGTGTTTAGGTTTTGGCAGGAGGTGAGGAGCTAGAAAAGAGGGTGTATAGCTTTTGTCAGTTCAAAGTGGCCCTGCAACAAAGAGCTAACATTACATTGAAAGACATGACATTTTTTTAAAAAGTGTTATTTGAAACGGAACACCCCTGGTTTATTATTAATAAAAGCAAAACATGTTATTTTAATGAATGTGCTTTCATTCATTATTTTAGCAAATACCATATTTCCCCATGTATAAGATGAACCCTTTTTTAAAAAAAAAATTTGGGGTCTAAAAACTGAGTGCAGTGGTTGTATGAGCGCAAAAACAAGCACAAAAAAAGCGGGAAATGCAAGTAAAAAAACCTCTGCAACCATTGTATAAGACGCACCCAGTTTTTAGACCCCCAATTTTTTTTTAAAAAGTGCATCTTATACATGGGGAAATATGGTAGATAGTGCCTACTATGTATCAGGCACCGTTCTAAGCCCCAGGCTAGAGCAGTGAACCAAACTCCCTGCCCTCAGGGAGGGGAGCGCGTGTGCCAGTGCCAGAATACACACAATAGGCAAGGAAGTAAAACATACGTGAAGTCACGTGGTGAGTGGATGATGGTCAAAAATAAAGCAGGGAAGCAGGATGGGTGCAGCTTTCACTCAGGTGGTCAGGCAGATCTCCCTAAGAGCATCATGGGAGGTAAGATGGTGAGGGGAGAGCTGAGCTATTCAGGTATCTGAAGGATTTCTTATTTGTGTCAAGATTAAATGTTACATGCACTGTTGTTAAAATTTTGAAGAATGTGTTACGTTTTCGCAAAAGAAACAAACGTTACCTTGGAAATGTGGAGAAAGTAGAAAGCATAAGCAGAAAACCACCTATGATTTCATCACCCAGAGATTTTTTTTTTTATGTTGTCAGACCTGTGTGTGTATACCCACATGTACTTACATGCATTCAAGGGCCTTAACAGTAGGGTACCACACATATAGTTTCTATATCCTTTCATTTTTATCAACTTGTATTAATATATCTTGCACGTCTCTCAGTGTTGAATCCACATTTACCTTGATGGCTACATATTAATGCATATCTTATATGCAGTTATGGATATACTATATTGACTAATCTTGAAAGCTGTGTAGGTTGTAAGCAATTCGTTGCTGTCATAGACAGTGCTGTCATACACATCGTTAAGGGTCTGTGCGTGCACGCGCGCACACTCACTCACTAGAGAGAAGAGTGAGAGAGAATACCTCTCGAGGGTTTTTAATTTGTTCATCATAAAGATATGAGATGGTACCTGTAAGAAAAGGTGGTCCTGGTGTGCCCCCTCTTCCCCGCAGATAGCAGGACTGGAAGAGAAAAAAAGCTGGGTCCATCCAGTGTCCTTGAAAATGTTATGAGCAAAAGCAAAAATACAAGGGAAAACAACGTTTGAAACAAGGAATTTCACGAGTCTTGCATATGCATCAAAACATTTTCAAAGCCACCCTGCTGCTCTGGACTTTTCATCCGGCTTCGACTTTTCCTCTCAAGTATTCTGGCCCTTTTAAGGCTCTCTCTCCATTTTAATAGCTCTTGAAACCTGGAGAAATTAAGTCCATAAGACATTAGAGAACCTCTTGCATTGAATCCCTACAAACACACCTTCAGAACATATTAACCCCGCTGGCTCTATAGAGTAATTATGAAGCCAGCATCCAAATTGTGGAACCAGCCACACAGGCAGCTCAGCAGGCCACTGTGACGGCAGTTCCCACCCTGCCTCCTACCCAACCCAACCCAACCTTCCAGTTCTGATCACGAGAAGTGCCAGCGAGACTGGAAACTCATACATTAATTCAACTGTGCTAAATGCTGTTATTCCTGGAGGCTGAATATGAGGGTTCCTTCCCGCAAGCCACTTGGGGTCTATTTAGGGAGACAATTAAATGACGGTGCACCTACAGAAAAAGGGCCTCTGAATGAGACTGGGCGGGAAAGTAGGCCAGACTGGGAAGGCTTCACAGGGTAGTTAGTACTTGAGTTAACTGAACCTTGAAGATGAGAGGGAGTTTGCAAGATGGGGGAGGACATCATTTCCTTCCAAGGGAGCACCAAGATTAGGTGGCAAGAATATGGGTTAGGAGCCTGTTGTGGTATTCCATGGGCGATGCGATGAAGGCTTGAAACAAGGCATTGGGTGGGAATAGGGTGCTGAGATAGAACTGATCTGAAAGATGCATAGGAGGTAGATCCTACAGGACGTGGAGCAGGGCAGGATATCTCAACTGGGCACTATTGACGTTTTGAGCCAGGTCATGCTTTGCTGGGGGCAGGAGGGGCAGTCTGTGCATTGAATTATAGGATGTGTGGTTGCATTCCTAGCCTCTACGCACTAACCTCCTAGCACCCCTTCCCCCAGTTGTGACAACTGCAAGTGTCTCCAGACATTACAAAATCACCACTGGTGGAGAATCCCTGGTTGAGAACCACCGTTAAAATATAACCGTGAAATAAAGCAAATTCTTAATGAATTTGGGGCTTGGAGAACATTCATTCTAAGGTTTATTAGTGTTTGTGGTATCTATTGTATCCTGGGCAAAGGTATCCACTGTATCCTTGTTCTCAAGTAGCTCGCTGTTTAGAAAACGGAACACACAGGTCCATGTACATGGGTTCCACCTGGAGGGTGAGACAGGGAGTGAGTTACCCCTGAGGGGAGGGTGGGAGGGAGAGGAGGTTGAACCTTCCCCTGGCTGTGGACTCTGTTTCCTATGACAAAACGTCTTACTTAAGTCAAACATTTTCTTTTTTATCCACAATATCATTATGATACCTAATAAAATTATCAAAATCTCCTTAATAACTTCTAACAACCAGTCCATAGTCAGATGTACTGCTGGTTTGTCCAAGTATTAATTCAAACAGGATCCATACATTGCTTTTGGTTTTTATGTCTCAAGTCAGTTTAATCTAGAACATTCCTCAACCCCCCCACCCCCTTTTTTTCCCTAATTTGATTTCCAATCCAGTCAGCCTTTCCATGGAATTTCCCACATTCTGGATATGATGCATTGCTTTCTTGTGGTGGTATCATTTAGTATTTATCCTCTGTATTAGATCTAAAGACTTGATTTTAGATTTAGGTTCAAAATTCGTGGCAAATATATATTTCAGGGTTTCTTGCCCCTCCCCACCCCAAATAATAACTACTTCAACAGTGCCAGCTCTCAGATTGTTTTGCATGGTTGTGATGGTTAAGCAAATGTGTCGACTTGGCTAGGCAAGAGATATTGTTTGAAGCAGCTAAGTTTGTGGTCATTTGTTACACAGCAGTGGAATACAAATGTATTTCCATTCTCTTTCTAAACAGTTCATCTCTTCGTATTGCTGTCCTGTGTAAAATGTTTCATGAGTTCCCTGTTGCCTATAGGATAAAGCCCAAATTCCTTATCAGGGCATGAAATTCCCTCACGACTAGACATCCACCTTTTCTGCTGGCCCCTGCCCCTCACACAACACTGTCACCTTCCACAACAGGCTACAGATACTTAAACACATTCTCCTTTCTCTCCCCTCCAGGACTTTGCACTGCTTGAAATAGGCCAGCTCCTTGCTAATTATCTCTTACTCATTGTTGGGGCCTCAGCTCAGCAACTGTCTCCTGCAAGCTTTTCCTTGGAACTAAATTTAGCTTACCTGTATATTCTTGGGCTCTTCCCTGACAGATTTGTCACACTGTATTGTTACTGTTCTCTTGACTCACCCGTCTTCCCCCGCTAGACCACAAGCTCCTCGTGGGCAGAGCCATCACCTTTGCCCCAGGGGCTCTTCGTGGGCTCTCCATCACTGCGGGCTGCATAAACATGACCAGGCTGCGCCTGGCCATCCTTCCACAGGCCTCAGTGACCCTAACGCAGAACCCCAACTTGCTCCCAGCACCCCTTCTGTGGGAATCGGGCTACAGCGAGGAGAATGAATGACCCATTGGAGGCTGAAGCGTCTGCATTCTATCTCATCTCCCGCACTTGGACTTGGTCGGGAGCAAGATGCTGGAACAGGACAGCTGAGCCCAGTGGCATCCAGCAGGAAGCAGAGGAGCGCGTCCACGCGTCTCGTCCCGAAGCTGTGGCTCTTGTACCTCTTGGAGGGCGGAGCTCACATCAATGTACACGCAGCAAAAAACAGCTCCAGAAGCTTTATTCTAGAAGATGAGAACGAGCCACAGAAGCCCAAGCAAAGGCTTGGTCATCAGTGATGCCACCAATGGGTGATGTGGGACAGGCTTGAGTCACTTGACCTCCTGATCTCCAGCAGCAGCTCCCTCTCCAAAATCCTTGCTATGGTCAAATGGTCTTTACTGTTTCATATAATGATGTAAACAGCTTCGAGTCGCCACCTCCAGCTAGATGGCTGCTTCTCTTTAGAAATTGAGAGCTGCTGTAAGGAAGGGCAGAACCCCCAGTTGTCTCACAAGATCACCCCAACTAGATGCCCCATCTTGGTCTTGCACCATCAGTGGACCCAGAGACACCCGTTTGAAGAGACCCCCATCCGATGTCTGCCAGAGACCTGACCAT